CCAATGAAGCCACGTTTGTAGGATGCCGTCCTCTTATGATAGGTGAAGCACAGCGCATCCGAGGCCTCCACCGTGTCCTTCGAAAGCACCGTTGTCGTCAAATCCAAGGCCTTGAGTCCCCATGAGGACTCCAGCTTGGCCATATCCTGCCTCGGGTGGTAGCTATCACCTGCCTCAGGGAAGGGGCTCGCTCTTGGTGATCCGTTTATAGTCTGCCATTCTGACCGCGTTCCGGCTCGATCCCCGGTCACAAGGCCCTTCGCCGAGAGCAAGGTACCCTTGGCAAGCCTGCCCTTCATCTTGCCGTTGACGTAATGAAAGCGGTTGGATCCCTTGTTGTGTGCCGCATAGTTCAAGTGCTCGGGTTGCCAGCCCGTCTTCGTACACTGCCGGGTGGGCACCCAGGCATTGATGACGCCGTCCCCATCCAGCTCCACGTGGTAGCGTTTGTTAGTGTCTGGGTGAACCAAGTCGAGACAGAGCTTCTCCTTGCCTTGGCTTTGGCATATCTTTGCTGGATCGGTTTCCCCACCAAAGAGGTCGGCAATGGCCCTGACCGGACTGCAAACAGAGAACCCACTGCTTTGAAGAGACAAATTGAGGTACACTCATGCTTAGTGTGCCAAGGATGTCTCTTTTGTCCCACCAGGCCTCGTGAGAGAGCAAAGCTCTTCGTGGCCAATGTGGTGCTTCTTGGCACAAATGTGCTCCGGGCGTGTCTCCACTTGACCAGGTGGCTTAAGCTTGATGGGCACACCCTCGCCTTTATGCTGGCAGTCATGCCGCCACTCCGCTTTCTCTGGAGGTTCGCCTCTCTCTGCCATGTTGTCCGAACTTGAGGCCGGAGCTCCTACCGGACAGCAGATAGACACAGGTAGGCAACCCAACTACCTAAGGCCAAAGACCTTGAGCAATGGTTCACAACGAGGCGGCTGTCGGCCGTTTCACTGCGCACCCCACCATGCATCAGCTTCAGCCCCCGCACTGGAGGTGAAAGGTTCAACAAGCATAAGAGTTGTGAACACGTGCGGGTCATTTTCTGCGTGCTAGCCAGGGCTAGGTCAGCCGCTTCCGCCCAGTGTAGCCTCGCGGCTTGAGAGCACCATGAATGGAAAGACTCCAACACACACATGCAGCATGCATGTCGGAAGACCAAGGGTGGCATGTGGCAACAAGTTCACCTTATCTTCGCCAGACACGTGACCTTCTTGAAGCCGCCACTATGCTATCCCATGATGTGACGGCTCAAGTTCCGCATGGACGACGCTCCCGGAAGTCAATCGTGACAATCTCTCTCTCGCTCACACGATACAAAAATGGGTTGATGTAAAACCGCTCCCGCAGAGGTGTTGTGCTCGGGCGTTTCAGAACTGATTCGGCAGCCACTGCATGCACAATGCTAACCGAAGTGTTCATCTGCACACATCGGACATATGCAGCTCAATTTTTCGTAGGCTCGGTGTTCGGCCGCCTACATGACATGGACGGTACCTACGTGGAAAGCTCAGAATGCTGCTGAATTGACTAGCATCCAGCTTTGTGTCACATGCGATCAACTCTGTTTTAGTGCTCAGAAGCAGTCAGGACGATGCAGAGAAGCTATGCTCGCCTCGTAGACAAAGCAGGTCAATAACAGCGGCCACCTGTCACCTGTCCACACGATTGCAGATTGAATGTTTAGACCGAATACTGCTATACTACTATACTAGGAGATTACAAGTTGGGTTTAAACCGATACTACTGCGAGATACGAACCCTAAACCCTAAACCTCTAAGGAGGCAGTGCCGCAAAATCGAGCTGGGGCCGAGGCGACGTCGCAACGAAGTCGCCGCGTTGACATGGGATCGGCTTTCTTCTCGCCAGCCCCCCGGTTTAGGCTTTTTTGGGGTTTTAGGGTTTGGGGTTTAGGTCCTACCTCAGATCACTGCCGCCCCGACTGCGTCCGAATAACGATAGACCGCAACATCCGCGAACAGGCTACCGGGGCCTGTTGGCTTTTACGAAAAGCAACAGCATGTACAATGAGAATCAAGAATGGCAGCCCTCGCAGCCGAGGCTAAAATGAGGCTGAAGCTGGGTCTCGGACTGAGTCGAAGCATTTCTGCATCCCCTCCTTGATCTCCGGCTGGCTTGGAGGAACCTGATATCTAATTAATGTAATGGTGCTTGCTTTTCACTGCGACATGTCGGGTGCCCCAGTCCTTCGATTTGCGAGTTGTTCAGTGCCAGCTCAGGAAGCGATTTTGGCGGACTTCTGCGGCCGCGCGTGCGACGATTGTACATTCCTCAAGAAGGCATCGCAACAGAGGAGAGATGGAGACAATGCATTGACCCCTTCACAGGATCCCATGCAAGCTTACATTTTAAAATGCTGCTGGAGGTGGGTCGCGAAACAGCGCGGTGGTTCACATCACATCCATTCAAAACACAAGGCACCCGACAGAACTACCTCCGCCACTCCGCGAATTACGGCAACGTGAGCAGCTTCTCTCTGACTGTCCGGGACTGGCCATCGAGCAATTTCAACGGCTTCACCTAAGGTCGCTGGTTGCTAACGGCTTCTGGTGCCAGGCCACCCGAGCAGGTGAAGCACTGCCAAAAACACCGGGCCTGTACAACACAATGATGGCGAACAACTTCAACATCCGCTTTCCAGAAAAACATTCATCGACTCAACCTCAAGGTGCTCGGAGGGCTTTGCATCTAACCTGGCCTGGAACGGATGCTCGGACCACTCACAAGAATTATTCGGCACTTACTGAGTGTGTGCGGGCCGTCGAAAGCTGCTCTTATCAACTCTTATCCCATGGGCTTCTCTCCTTGTCGAGAGATTTCAGCTCAGAGGTGTAACTGCGGCAAGCCAGCCACCTGAAGACTTAAAAGAAAAACTGCCAAGACTCCTACATGCCATGCTTTCTTCGGCTTCTGAGTCTGTCCGGGCCCTCACAAGCTGCATGACAAGCTCTTATCTCTCGAGAGAGATTCCAGCTCAGCGGTGCAACTGCTGCAAACCAACCATATACGTCACACCGTACACAACTCCGACGGTTTGGGTAAACGGCTGTCCAAGTATCTGATAGGTATGCTTGCTGATATGTGTTTGCTGTCCTCGCCTATTGGGATGAGGCGCCATAGATGGCCACTGTCTATGTCTGCAGCCGACATTCGGTAAATGTACATTCCTCAAGGAGGCATCGCAGAGGAGAGGAGAGGAGTGAGGCATCCCTGGTCCATGCCTTTCCAAGATGGCACCAGAAGCGGCAAAGCCAGCGAGCAGCTGTGCTTTCAGCCATCTTCATTCAATGTCTGGGGCTCTATGGTTTACGATTTCGCTTGGTACATAGTATAGCGGTTACCCGCGTTCTACCACCCGAGCATATGAAGCAAGCGCTCTCTGCAAGAGACCTGATAACCCTCGGAGCATTGAATGGAGGATTTAAACGAATTCTTGCCTAAATGGCATGCTTTCTTCGGCCCACACTGAGTCAGACCGGGCCGTCGAAAGCTGCATATTCTTCAAGCTCGGGGCTGCAAGGGCTGATCACAAGCTCTCATCATCGAACAGCCCTTCTCAGGAGATCTCGCGCAGCTGGTACAAGGCATCCCTCTGGGCCTTCGCCGCAGACACCCCACATGCATTAAGGGGGGCTTTGAGGCTTTGGGGTTTAGAGTTTCCAGGAAGGCCGCGAACCGAACCGCAAACCGGAACCGAACCGCCAGGAACCGTCCACTCCGTGAACCGCAAAACATCGCGAACCGCTGAACCGACACGCGAAACGAACCGCGCCAACTGAAACGCATTTCCATTCCATCCATCCCTCCATCCAGCCGCCTCCCCCTCCTCCGGGCGCTTCCCTCCATCCAAACACCCTCCATCCACCCGCCCTCCATCCAAACCCCTTCCCGCCAACACTCCTCTGCCTCCATCCACCCTCCATCCAGCCCCCTCCATCCAGGCACCACCCTCCAACCACTTTCCCATCCACCCTCCATCCTACTTCCCTGTCCTCCATCCAGCCCAACCCCCTCCATCCTCCATCCAAGCATCCTCCATCCAGCTGCCCTCTCCTGCCCCCTTCCAACCAACAGCCGCTACGGCCCTTCTCGGGAGATCTCAGCTCAGCTCAGCCTTGCAGCTGCTGCAAGGCGTCCTTTTGCGCTTTCGCAGCAGACACCAGGTCTTTGAGGCTTTTGAGGCTTTGAGTTTGATGTTTGCTGAGTGCTCCAACGCCTATCGCAGAGCCCACAACCCGGCCTCCAACTCCTCGCGCAACTGTGCGGACGTGCCGCGCTGTAGGAGGAAATGGCGGTCCGGCAGCTTCAAGTAGGCTTTGAGCTCTTCCTCCAAGATCTCCAGGTCAACTTCAAAGTCGATCTGCTCCTTTTCGGAGCAATTCGACGTAGCCCTCTGCTTTGCGAGCGAGAAAGCCTTCTAGAATGCCGTCCGGACGAAAGTTTCAGCAAGACCTGTGGAGAATCTGCTGGACACTTTCCTGCTGGTCTCCAAGAACCCAATGACCGTCTTCATCTTCATGTTGTGATGGCTGATGCCCAGCATGAAGATCTCCTCCAACCGGTCCCACATGTTGTCTGCCTGCGTGCGGGATATCTCGAACTCGTTCGCCATTACAAGCAGCCTTCCTGCGGGCCCAAGAAGATGCAAGCCGTTGCCCAGGTTTTCCAACATGTTCTCGCGGCGCTGGGGTGGCTGAGCCTGCACCGCTTTGTACAACCTAGACACACGAGCTGCTGCAGCCTCCAGTTCGGGCTCAAGGAGGAACGAAGACAGAACGGGCGCAGCTCCAAGTAGCCTGCTCTTATCGTACTCCTGCAGCTCGAGCAAGCCCTTTGCACAGTCAATGCAAGTCTCGAAGAGCTTCACGGGGCAGATCTTCATCAAGTTGCACGCAGAGACAACTTTGCTCAGATGATTGCCCAAGTGCCCGTCTGGTTTCTGAGGATCCAGAAGCCCAGGCAGCTTGTTGGACAGCTCGGTCGCAATCCGCAGTGCAACTTCTCGCCGCCAGCGGATCCAATCTTCTCGTTGCCAGCCCTCGCCCTCGAAGACCAGCTGCGCGAACCAATGGAAGACGTTGACCAACTCGAGAGGCCCCATGGTTGCGAGGTGCTGCTCCTGGAGGTGGTTCGAGAACTCCCCGAGCAGAGGCCCGTGCCACCATGAAAAGCCCATCTTTCCGTATGCGTCAGCCACGATGCTCATGGTCTGTGGGACGTTCTTTTTGGTTGGATCGGTGCTGTTCCGCAGCCCTTTCTTGGCAATCAAACTCCCGGCTTCCCAGAAGAATGGGGTCCACAGCTTCTTGTCTTTTTCGGCAGGGCGCACGAGCGGAGCCACCTGCTCGATAGGGCGCTTGTGCTGGGCCATCTGCTCGGTAGGCACAAGCTGAGCAACCAGCTGCAGAATGCGAGGCACCTGTGAAGCGCTCCACTGCAATGATGCCCCTGAAGTTCGGAGGTGCTTGTTCATCTGCTGGGCCATGGACTTCAGGATTCCCTCAGTCAACTCGGCATGGCACAGTTGTGCTTCCTTCTGGGCACACTGCTGCATCTCGGGGTTCTCTTGGAGTTCCTGCAAGTAGTGCAGAGCAGTTCGCCATTTTTGTTGGTCTGGTGACGAAGCCGGATCCCTTCTGAAGCTGCGCCAGAGAGACAGCAGGTGCGCGACTTTCTCCTGTTCCAGGATTCCAGGACCGAAACTCTAAACCCTGCAATCCCAGAGAAAAAACAACAAGTAAGTTGACACCCCGACCCCTAAACCGTGGTCGCATCTCC